TATGCGTATGAATAAAAGTCTTATTTTAAATTCAAACTTGGCAATATTAAATCGTGATTTATTCAAAGAAACGATTTTGAATAGAACTATAATTTGTCAGTTTACATAGATAATACATTCACATTTTTTTGGGGAGGAGGAGAGAATTCTTATGAAATATTAATTCAGATAGAAAATATTTTAAATAAATAAAAGACCAACCTTTATCGTTGAACACTAAACATATCAAAATGTTTTGACATTGTACAAAACAACTTTTTTTTTTTTATTTTTGAATTCCGATCACCCGATGACAGCATATTCCACTTTTAAAATTGAGTAGAGACAGTATAGTGGACCAAAATGAAAACGCCATTTGCCATGCTTGAGTTTCATAACTTCCCCCCTTATCTAAACTTGAAATGGAATAACTCATTAACAGATTGATGGAAATCAAAAATGTCAAAACTAAAATGTATTTAAACTATTGCACCATCTATTAAGGACATTTTTATTTTAAGTTGTTATTTTAAAATCAAAAGTAGATTATTGTTTATCTTTGTAAATAGGGATGAAAAAAATAATAAGAATGTAAAATCGTAGAACCGCTTTTTTTTAAATGATCAAAAGAATTTTATTTGAAAAAGTAAATTTTCCGATTTTTCTAGATTTTAGACAAATTTCGAGAATATCTAAAATTGACTTCTGAAGTATACTCAAATTAATGTAACAAGCACTTAAGAGACATATTTTTTCTGAAAATCGTGCCACAAGGGAAATATTTGTATCTGCAGATTTCGATTTATTTTTTTTCTAGTAAAATGAATACATGGAGTGTTGGAATTTAATTTTTATAATTACATTTCTAAACCTTAGAGTTCGATCAATTTCCATTAGTTTTCTAACAGATATTATGAGGAAGAATAACGGTTATCATGAAAATTATTAATGTTTTTTTTTTTTTTTATTTCTAGAAACAATACACAGAAATTCTATCGCGAAAATATGAATAAAATTATTATTAAAAAGAAAGAAAACTATGACTATATTTTACCAAAGAAATAATGTTAAAAGAAAAAAAAAATCATCGCGACAATATTTTTTTGTATAGTTCTCTTTTAAAATAAATGTAATCAATTTTTTTCAATATATATTTCAGGTTATGATGCATTTCTATTGTTTTTAGTCTCATAGAAACAACGGTGGACATTATGTTTAAAAGTGTTCAACAGTGCACAGCTCATGGAGTTATAACAATATGGAAAATACGCAAGTATTTTAATGTATGCTTTCATTACGTTATAGTAAATATACGGATTTACAAGGACATGGATAAATACAACGTTGTTTATTCATAATATTTCCTAAAGTCGTTAAAACCTAATATTTGTTGTACATAACTCTATTGTTATTTATAAAACAACATAGTTCCCATACTACAAGCACCAATAATAGCGGTGGCTATTTAATATTAAATAATATACTAATATTTATTGGTACAGTAACCTCCGATTGAGCATTTTACAATGATAAACTTTCTGTGACGGTTAACGTCGGGTTAAATTTTAAACCTTTAAAAACCAACGTTACAATACATTTTGTTCAAGTGAATATTTAAACAAGAATACATTTACAATGTAAAATAAATTTTAACTAACATTATAAATTATTATAACTTTGCACATTGATTTTTTTTAAATTTAATTTTTGGCTAGGGAGAAAGGCGGATGGATTAAGACACTAAATCTGTAGATTAAACAAACCTCATATAACCGTAAAATACACGGGGACGAAAAAATGGAGACTCCCCCCCCCAAAAAAAAAATATTGATTTTGGCCATGATCTTGCATTTGGAGTTTTACTATAGTGAAAATGTAAACCCCCGACTTACAGTCATCATTTCCGGTGTACCCAAATTTTTTTTAAATTACCTACGGCCTATTTCGGAATTATAACATGAGTAATAATAATAATTGAGTATATAAAATCCTAGATTTTGGCTGAACAAGAGTCTCATGCTGGTGAGTTTTCGACATGATGGAGTCATCATCGGGCAGCATTGAGCCGAAAATATCCAAGCAAATCATTAAGTCATAAAAATAGTATAAGATAACTAAGATGATCAGAAAATATAAAAATTCGTATGTATACGTATATATATATATAATTTCGTATTGCATATTGTGCGTATATTTCAATTATATTAAAAAAAAAATGTAGAATTATGTGATTTGAAAAATAAAGATTTTTCAAAAGTAATAACTTTAAATTAAATAATATAATAATACATTTTATACATGTTTTATTATTTTAATTTAGTGAATTCCAAATGCGTCTATCGAAGTCTAAACTTTCTTTTCTATAAAACGATTCAAATAATAAAACATTAATATTGAAAATAAAATAAAGAACTCATCTGATTAAAATAATAAAATCTGTATAACAAATGCTACTATATTAGTCAATTTAAATTTTTAGAAAACCAACAAAAATATGATCACAGATCCCAGTGTCGAAACTGTCAGACCTACGGACACACCGCTACTATTGTCATCATCCTTCACGCTGTGTTAAATGTGAGGGAGATCACTCCTCAGACATTTGCACCAAGGACAAAAACAGTCCAGCCAAGTGTGCGTTTTGCGCGGGTAATGATACTTCCAGCTATAAAGGACGTCAAAAATACAAAGAACTTCTCAAACGTCGCTCAACAACCCATTCAATTTGTCATAATCCGAACACAGTATTCACGTTTTCCACTCACAAATCATCTTCTCACTCACCCAAGGCTTCTTACGCCTCCAATTCTAATAATATCTCATTATCCAATAACGCTATTAACGATATTCGTCCTTTTTCCAAATTTATTTCAGAACTTTCCGCTTTAATAAATCCCCTCATTTCCCTCTTTACAGCCGCACTGCACGAAAAACAAATTCCATAGCCCAATTATCTCTACCTTATTCATTCAATCACTATTATAGTTCTATTTATTGATTATGATACCTGTTATTCATTATGATTATTTTGTATTAAAACTTTTAAATTTTAAAATATTTAAGCATACTTAATCCGCATGTTAACGACTTATATATTTCTATTTTTACGTTGTTTTATCATTCTGTTATTTTAAACACTGTAATCGTTGAGCTATAATAGTTATTTGATAGAAGCTATAATAATAAAAAAAAAAAAAAAAAAAACAGATAACAACATTTTAATGTTCTCGCTTTTGATATGACATAATACCGAACCAGAAATCAATTTACACTAATATTGAATAAATGTAACAACATCGTATGAAATATAAATTATTTTGTGTGTATTGCGTATGACGATTAGGCATGTGTAGGTACAGACAGATTAATGAAATCAATAAACAATGTCCTCTTGACGAACAAGGAATGTTGCGTAAGTACTCGTAACTATAGTCTTAAAGTTTTCACCAAAGAAAATGTCAGCAGTTTTTTTAATGAAATTAATAATTATTATTTTAGAATTTGATCACTATTATTATGATAAATCTATTTCAATAGCAGTGTATTAATGTAAAAAAAAGTTTATTTTTTATCGAGACATAGTCAACAAATAAAATATGGCACGAGTCAATTTGCAATTCGAATTTGAAACATAAATTTTGAATATCTAAAAACACATCATATCTTACTCCAAGAAATTTCAAAATTATATTCCTGTAGAACTATAAAAAAACTTCTACGGTACCCAGTATATTACATAGTAAGAAAATAGAAACAGTTTTACTTTTACGAATTCTGTACGTTCAAGAAAAATATAAATACAATTTTTGGGTGAATTCGTGCAATTTGAAAAAAAAACATGTACCATAAAAGAATATGCTTTTATTAAAAAACGATGTTTCCATATTTCAAGGATACCACTACTCACGCGTATATAACATAATAATATAATATGGGGATTTTAAAAGTATTTTTATATTTTTTCTAAAACTGTAAAAGCATTAAAATATTCCGAAAAAAATCGATCACTGTGCAAAACCAATTGATAGTAAATAAACGGAAATAACCGTGTCAGAAAATATAAAAAAGGAATTATATTATTATTTTATATTACAGAATACGGTGAAGTTTACTTTCAGCACTGTTGATAAGCCAGCCATATTTTTGAATGTGACAAAGAACGGCAGAATTATCCTGCCACCCCTATCATTTAACACTCGACATTTGTATTTGTTTAAAATAAACCGTGCGGGCAGGCACCGTGAACGTTTGTCGAGCAGTCCCAAAATGAAATTAAAATTTATTGAACTCTATTCAAATTATATTTTCATTATTTTTATTGATAATATTGAAAACTTATAAAAAAAAAAAAATTAATTTCAAATAATAAAAACTAATCTATAACTCGTGTTGGAGATAAAGCTATAATATTGAAATGTTCTCGTTTAAAATTAATATTTTAATAAGTTTGTGTTCATTGAAATGTAAAAAAGTGTCTATAAAAAATTATTCATATTTCTGCGCGCAACGCGGTGAAAATATTTACTACAGATAGATTGAATAGATACGTGCCCGATTACTAATAAACATTAATACGGTACCTACAAATTACCTAATAATTTCACATTCTTCTTCAAAACCGCACGTCAATAATTTATTTTATAAATTATGAAATAACGGTGCGTTTTATTTACAATTATTATTACCCTCTGGAGGGAATCTATAAGTATAGGTGTTTCAATTTATCGAAATTAGATATTATTCGATATAGTCGGTACACCGCACAATGCTTCGATAAAATGAAATTGACGTTTCGAAAGAAATAATTATACCAACGGGATTCGTTTTAAATTGCCAATAAATAGCAAATAGTAAACACGCGCAATATAATACACAAACCGATCGACAGTCTTGCGATGAATACACGGTGCACCGATACTTTATAGAAATCAAATTTGTTTTCGAGTTTTACTTATAAATAAAATCGCTGCTAATTATAAAAACAATTAATGAAGTTGTTGCGTTATTGTTAAACATTCAAAATGTCAAAACTAATTGATTGGTTTCGTGAATACTGCGAAAAGACCACGGCTCATGGAATGCGGTATTTTGTGATGAAGCACAGATCGCAAATAGAAAAGTTTGTAGAAATGAAAAGTTAAACAAAATTAACGAAATTTCAGTTCGAAATAATGATCTGATGTTTAAAAATCAAACACTTAAAAAATAATTACATTTTTTTTTTTAAGCTATATGATGAGTAATATAATATTAACAATATAATAAAGTTAATAAAATTGTAAAAAAAATATGTACAAAGTAAACTTACGTAAACTTACAAAAATAAAACAAATACAACATTTTACAATTAAATTGAATTTGAAATTTGAACTATTATTTAACTAGTGCGGGTTTGAAATAATATTTGAATAAGTTCGGTTCGACCTTAATAATCAGAATCAAATACATCACTATGTGAATAAGTTTGCATATTTATTAAAACCTGATATTTATTTTAAAATAAATTGTATATTGACAATCATGAAGTGAACTGGAATACTAATTTTGTTGAAAAATGTATATATTTTCCTTTGTATAATATTATGTTTTCAATTTTTTGCCCTCAGTTTTAAATTGCAAGTATCTAGTTTTATTGTTTTGCCTATATGTACAACATATACAATACGCATAACACATATATTTATATTTAGTTTTTTTTTTATTATTGTTTTCAATGACACGTTATTATTATTAGTTCATTAGTTCTAACATTTTTTACCGTTATCAATATAATATGTTATAGGTAATTTATTTATCATAATTTTTTATTAGGTTTTTGTTGATTTATTAATATTCTGGTAGATACGTTATTTGAAGTAAAAATTTGATAAATTCTTAATGTATTACAAATTACGATTATTGTAGATTGTAAAAATATAGAATTTAGACTTTTTAACGATATTTGAAATAGTTATAAGTATACTTTTTCAATATTTCAATTGGATTCGATTGGATATTTCCATGATTGTTGCATCCAAATCTTTAATAATAAATAACAATTATGGTCTCCAATATAACGTGATAAAACCTTTGTCATTTTCAACGGAAATAAAATTAACAGTAATAATATGTATTATGTATACGGCAATCATATAGGATTTTCAAATTATGCATTATATTTTTGAGAATATAAGTATGAAGTACCAAAGCTCCTTTGCTCTCATCACTGTAACGCACATTAACACATAAAATAAATGTAATATTTCAGAGTGTATTGGATAGTGGTATTGAACTGCATGATATTGGCTGCGTTTTATGTTTTGATATTATTATCTAATATTTGGATTAATAATCCTGTGGTATATTTCATCGAAAACACGGAATCGGAAATTAAAGAGTTACCTTTTCCGTCGTTTAGAGTTTGTCCAGTGAACCAAGTGCGAAAACGGGTTTTGGGAAGCGATGGAACCACTAACAGTTCGTATGGGTAAGTTATAGGTTTGAATAAACTATTTAGGTACTTTCCCCTTGTATGATCCAGCCAAAGGATACCATATGCCACATTAATATTCACTACAGAGACGTATAATAAACATGACAATTATATGTAACAATAAAAATTAACGTTTATACATAATTTCGGCTTCTTGCATTATATAATATTTGATTGTGTTGTTCGATACATCCACATAGGATTTAGATTTGAAATTTCAAAAGCTTCTACAAGAAACCAGGAGTTAAATATGCATTCACAAAAATAATAATACTGTAAAAGATATTGTACGATACTGTAATTTATAGCGCCAATAATTTATATAAAATACATACCTATAACAGTAAAACGGTGTAACTACTATTAAAACACTCTATTTTATTCAGGGAGGATCTTGACAAATTTATGTCTTTAATCTGTTCTTCGAACACTTACACCGCGTCCGCAATGAAGCAACACTCAATGGAATACGTTGACTACGATGTATTCAAAAAATGGGTGATTGTGAGTATTTAAATAGGTACATTCAATTGCTATTTATTTTAACAGCGAAACAAAAGTTCAAACACAATAAATTAGTGATAATTTACTGTGTAATTTATTGAACTGTACTCTAATACTTGCATTAATACTTCATATTCGATTACGTTGTAATCGGCAATAATTTTATTAAAACAGGATTATTCTGTAAGCTGTCCAGAAACGTTTCAATCTCATGTTAATTGGCAAAATACTACGATTCCGAATATTTGTGATTTTGTTCAACCGTCACTGATCATAACTGGAATATGTTTTACACTTAATACGATTCCGATGTATCAAATGGTTCACGAAGAATATTATCAGAGGTAAAATGAATACAATTTTAAAACATTCCCTTTTTACTTTTAAGTTTAAAATATAACGACACTATTGGTTAGGTTAGGATATAGGAATTGCTCAACCAAATAAAAATGCTTGAAAATTTAACACGAGGTACGCTACTAGTTAACTACTCATTTAATGTTCAAAATAAAAAAAAAAATTCAAATATCTAGATTCAGATAGAAATTTATTGTTCTTCGCTTAATAATATCATCTTAATTAAAAATATTAAATACGTTTTCCGTTCTATTTTTAAAGCTTAACGACTATGGGACTTTACTGATTTTACCCCATGTTTTTGTTTTTGTCTTATATCGTTCATATCCTGTGTAATTGTCGAAATACAATAATTTCCATTAAAATTTCAATAATAATAATTATAGTAAAATATTAGTTGTGTAATCGCTATTTTTTGTAAGTGTTAGGTTAAGTTAGGTATATTATATACAGTTGTATGAAAAATAAAATTCACGTGCACTGACTTGTCACTGTTGATTTGAATTTTCCAACGTCTCGTCCAATTAAAGATATTGTTGGTTGAGTTCTGTAAGTTTTAGTCACAGTCAGCTAGTTCTTAATAGTTGTTAAAATTTCCGCATCGTCAGCAAACACACCGGTTATTCATGCATTGTTGGTATCCCTACCAACAACGGCTGTGTAGAGTAAGTATGAATAGGTCGTAGGACGTAACTTTTTATTCCAGCCTAAATATTTTTCAAATTTATTATCGTTTCGTCGAGCAATACTCGAAACTGTCATTCGATCAAATAGGATTCAAGAAATGCGAATCAAGTGTGTGGTCATTGTTTTCGTAATTTTATGAGTAGTCCTTTATGGCAAACTTGGTCAAGAGATTGGACCACATTTATAAATACTTTGCAGCAATACTTTTTTTCCAGCGCCTTGCTAATCACGCTTGTGACGTAATAAACATTGTTAATAATTGAATGTTTGATTCGGAATCAGGTATTAGGTGTTTTTCTTCTATTAGTGGTTTTAATCACCTAAGAAGAAGCTTTTTAAAGAACTTTAACATGCTTCGTAAAAGTGATATTGTTGTGTATGAATTAGTTCGCATAGCTAAGTCAACCTGGTTTCAATAGCATAATTCCTTGTGCCTTTTTCTACTGCTTTGGGACATATTTCTACAAATAGAATGGTATTGTATATATATGAGTAAAAAAAAATAATAACCTTCTTTGGCAGTTTTTTAAAATATACGTAGATTGATATCGGCGACCCGGTCGTTTTGTTGTGTTCGTATTAGTGTCGATTTCATGAGCAACTTCTAGAGGTGGGAAGTATTGTAATTTTTTTATTTTTACATCAAGTGGTTGGAATTGTACCATATCGAACTTGGAAACGATATTATTCGGTTGATAAACACGCTTAAGGTGTTTAGCAATCATAAATAATATGTTAAAAATCAAAAAGAAAGTCAGATTTGATTGATATATTATTATTTATCTCAGGACAAAAATACCTGCTACCGATACTCGATAGTGATTATTACGGCACTAGGAATAAATATTTCACGAAATTGTACTGTATTATATTATCAGGTACTTGGAATTTTTTTCGGAAATAAATACATTCACGGACACTAGAATTTCAAAGTGGAATTTAGACGAAGGATACTCGATGTATTCAGGCAAGGACGATTTAGTGTCAAATCATTACCTTGTGATACCTGCTCGGACCAGCGGAGCAAGCTACTACCATCGATTTAGAATGGTATTATACTCGTTACAGAAAGATGAAATACAGAGTTGTCCTAACACTGATCTGGCCGACGGTAGTTTTTTGGTGCGTATTTTGTTTTTACCATATAGATAAGTGTCGTTTGAATGATTGCAATGCGTTGTGTTGAGGAAATGGTGGCTGCCAAGAAAGTATCTATAAAAAAAAAAAGGAAAAAGGCAACGGTCCACAAAATATAAACAATATTTTTTTTAATTCTGAGCGAAACGTGGGATAAATTGGTTTCTAACCTAACCTATTTAACTTATTTGGTTTCATGTGGTCGTAATTTTTTTTGTTCAAAAAAATTGTCAATAATTTACATCAGATTTATAATAAGTTTTAATGAGTGTTAAAAAAAATATTTCTCGCATTGTTGATTTTTTTTTTTTATGAGTAAAAATCCAAGCATTTCAAAATATATTTTAACCAAATTTCGCTTAGAATATTCTTTTGCTAACAATAATTTTTCGTTATAACCTAAATCTCTCTCTTTCTTTAAACATAGATATATTATTAACTTTCTTCTTACAACTGCAATACCACACTTATCAGCTCTTGTCTTTTTTGGTTTTATTAGATTACATTAGCTAATCCGATGGAATATTCTTCAATTAACGTTAGATCATTTATCCTACCGGACACATACACACGAATACAAGTTACTCCGTTCGTGAAGAAAATGAATTGGTGTTTAAAGTGGCGATCACTGGAAACCAGAAAATGTTATTTGCAAAACGAGAGAAAGTTGTCAATATTCAAAATGTATACCGAAAGTAATTGTAATTACGAATGTATGATCAACGAAACCATTTCCATGTGTGGCTGTATTTTGTTCGAGGCAGCTTGTAAGTTTATATTATTATTTATTTAATTTTTACTTTTATTGTACAAACAAAAATAAACTATATTTTTGTATTTTCTAATAGATTTAACAAAAGGCGTGAAATTATGCGGTCCTGCGAAAAAAGATTGCATACTCAGAGCTATACGTAATAATAGATTTTTACATTTTTAATAATATTAACTATCCTGATTGAATTATGAAATAAAAAAAAATTTAATTAAATATCCAAATCCATCTTTCCATTATCTATCCTTCTTTTAAATTCATTAATCCATCCGTTTTCCCGAAAAAAGTCGTTATTGCAGACGACACTAAAACAATTAAATAAAGACCAACGCTACCGAACTTTTAGTTGAGTGGCGTAACACATAAAAAACATCTAACGACGCAATAAGTTATTGGAATTTGCGATTCATTTAATTAAATTGAGTTTAAATAAAGACTTAAGATTCTTAGTTACATCAAGATAAGCACTTGATTTTCATAAAAATGTCATCTGTCCGGTTCAATAGTTTTTATGTGATGCGTGCACAGACAAATAGAACAATTAATGTTTACAATTTTATCATACCATATATTCATTAAATTTCACTAAATCTCACTAAATTTAAAAAATGAATTGCAATGATCAATAAAATCTCATTTCCGTTTATATACGTTTATATCGTACAACTTGATTTATATAAATTAAACGGTTTTAACTATCAAATTACGTAGGTATTTAACTTTATACTATCAGAATTAATGACAAATTAAATTCATATAACTATAACAGTATTGGTTTTTAAATAACTCAAAGAAAACATAATAAAATACACATTTTTGTTTATGATTTATATCACTAAATATTATAATTTTATAGAAGCAACATCATTATCGGGAATGCAAAAGATATGCAATTGTATGCCTACGTGTACCGTGATCGAATACGAAATAATAGATACGGCGCATTATGACAATTGGACATACATGAAAGAAACTAATTTAGTAAAGAATAAGTACGTGTCTAATAGTTTTATATATTATATACATTATAATATAGGGTCTTAACATGATTGACAATAGGTGATTCTCAAATTTCCGTGATATTTCAATCATAGAGTGATTTTAAGAAAACGAATGTCTGAATACCGTTGTATATTTTTTATTATTAGAATGATCGTATTAAATAATTTTTCCTAATTTTGAGGTTCCAAAAATTAATAGTTATATAATTAAAAGTATAAAATATGCTAATATGTCAAAAAACCCCTTGCCACAGACCCAATTTTGTTTCTTCATAAATCAATAGCACCTGTTCCTTTTACTGTGAGCCTGAAAAATTATTAGGCACCATTATTGTTAACATATTTCCAAGTATTGATATGCAAAATAATTGGAATTTTAGTCACACTGTTTACTTTGCTATTTGGCCGTACACTGTACATCGCCTACAGACAAACAAAGAAACACACAGACTGCAACTTCTTAAATTATATCGATTATCATAAATCAATTAATAATTGTATTTGAATACATATAAAAAATATATATATATAAGAATATGGAAATCTTTGTTATGGAATGGCTTTAAAACTACTTATTCAATCGTCATACAGTTTTTAGATTCCGAGCGTAGCGATGAAACTATTTGATTTTATTAAGATGTTTATTTTTTTTTTCTAGTCTGTGGATACGTTTTTTCCTAGTAAACTTGCTCCAATTTTTACGTGTCATTTATTCTGAAAGCTCGAGTTGTCTAGATGGTACTTTAAAAAGATCATTTTTTGATTTTCGATGCTATTTTTTAATTAAAAGCACTTAAATGGGAAAAAACGTAAGAAAATATACAATTTCAGGATTTCATTATTTTATAAAAACACAACGACGTTTTCTACCAGAAAAAATGATTTAATCGAAAAGTCACAAGATTATGTTGCCTTTTTGATTTACTTTCTTACAGTATCATTGCCAAAACTTTTAAGTTTCTTTTTGAGCTTTTAAGGAATTTAAATTTTCTGGAGTTTTTTTCTGTAATTCGGTTGTAAATACACGTAGAGACTTGAAACTTGGTAATAATACTTATATTGGATTTACCTAAACGTGGTCAAATTTACAAAATCATTGGACGACTTTTTTTTTTTAATAAGCGTTTTGAAATGAAATTTAAATTAAAATCGCAAAAAAAATTATGGCACTTCAAATTACGTATTATCGAACCGCGTTCAATCGCAGCAAATCCTACCTTCCCAATTTCTCACCTGCAACAGTGGCCGCTCCCATCACCAATATCAGTTATTTTTTTTCTTAAAGTAAAGAGGACATCACAGAGCAGGTTTTAGGCATAAATTTAGTCCGATAAAATTAGTAAATAATTAGGTATTAATTAAAATAAACGTGTAAATTGTATACCAATATACCTTAGTAACACGGATAAAATGAAAAAAAAAAAAAACTATGTGCTATACTGGGTTAGTATCTATAGTCAAAACGCATCTATGGCATCTATAGTTTCTTTCCAAATGTAATTTCCTGTATGTACTGTCTTCATTATCTATGTTATTATCGTACAGCCTTGCGATGTCTACAGTGAATTACGTTTTCGATGTATTACAATTTTTGTTTGTTGCTGTGAATAGCCGTGCTTTTTATTATTTTCTTGGTTATCGCATAATGCCCATGAAGAGGAAATTAAACGTTGATCGGTCCACAAATAGTGCCAAGAAGATGCACTTATTTAGGAACAATTATTTACAAACGCTCGATCAAAATATAGTTGAAAATAACGGTGACAACAACAATAATAACGATAATAACGACGATAACAAGAATAACATGTCCGCCTTCAATTATAATAAATCGATTGATTATAGAAATGGTTCTCACGTTTTGATATGAAATATAAATTTAAAGTGCAACTTTTTTAATGTATTAAAATGGTCTAAAGAACCACCACCTGGTCTGTTGTTCAGCAAGAAAAGTTTTATTGAGCATTTATTGCACGGGCAAAGCTATTTATTTACAAGTATTAACCATTTTAATAATTTTGTTTTTATTTTATTATTTTATTATTGATTATATTTGTTTATAAAGGAAGTTAAGTATGTAAAAATTGTCAAAATCTTGGTATAGATAATAATCGATCGTAAATTATGTATAGGCCAAATAATTACTTGGTATATTATTATTTTACTATATTAAACTTTTTACAAAAATATATGTTTCATTTAATAGAAAATGTATTTAATACATTAGAGTATAAGATAAGTACTTTCGTATCGTATAACAACAATAAATATATTATCTGTGTTGTTTTTTTTTTTTGTAGTTCTAGAGGCGCCACGATTGAGTTTCTTTTTAAAAATCCTTACTTCACAGCTTATAAAACGGCGTCAATTATAAACATGGACTCGTTGATTAGTAAGTTATACATTAATTCTATTAATTGAATACATACAGGATCTTCCATATTTCACGTTACATTCATACTTCTCATAAAATATTTTTTTGTTTTTTTAAAAATGACATGCGAGCGAAAATCTTCTGGAATCATATATTCTAAAATGTTACAATTTTCTTATTTTTTTTTACCCTCATTAATTTCTTTTAATTTTCAAAAATCAGCTTATGTTTAAAACAGAACAATAAATAAATGATGTTTCAAATTAAATACATTTTAGTGTTGACGTTTTTAATTTCCGTCAGCCCGTTTACGAGATATTCCTCTTTTAAGTTTGGGTGAGGGGGGGATGACTAGTGGAGCATCTTTTGTGTGGCGGCGTGACATGCAACGTTTGAATTAGAGCTGTTAATTATAACAGTGATGTTTCCATCAAATTTGTTGAGGGTACACTCAGCACAATTTTAATAATTAAAATGAAAAAAGCTGAGGATACTGAAAAAAAAGGTTATCTATATTAAGTTCTTTATTCAGAACTATGACCTTGGTATTATACCATAAGTTAATAAGGGAGCTCATTATTTCTGTTTAACGCGTAATCTAGTATAATATACAAATAGTATACATCATAAATATGCACTTATATTAGCAAAAATATTATGGAAAATGAAATTGGTAATTATAATTCTGTTAGTAATAAAACAAATATCAATCCTAATCCAGATTAATTTAAATTAAAATGTATTGTATAATAAATGCATAAACATCCGCTCTCTAATTACAATATTTATAACAAGTCTTCAACAACGATTTTGACCCCCTCCTTCCCAGAAAATATTTACAAAGGAACTCACTGAGGTTTAATACCAATTTGGAAATTAATATATTATTTTATTTTGTTACAGGTAACATTGGAGGAATATTGAGTTTGTTTTTAGGTTTAAATTTACTTAACGTTTTTGAAATATTGTATGTTTTAATACGAATGACCATTAGTTATGTTTTACGTACTGAATAATAATATTTTAGCCCAAATATTATAAAAAGTAAAAATAAATTTATGATTCTAATAGAAATTCGTAAGATAAAACTGTTTTTAAATTAATAATACAAGCAGTTAGTTTTTGTGCAGAATTAAAAAAATATGAAACAACTTTTGTTTTCTTCAATATTTTAATGTTGTTTTCTTATAATAATTTCTAGAACTATACACTACGATTCCTTTCTTTTATGAATTTTTAAACTAAAAATTAAAAATTAAATTGTTTTAAAACATTATTCCTACAAAATGCAAGGTAACCATTTAGTAAATATATTTTTCCAAAATCGTGCTACAAAATTTTGCAAATGACGAATCGATAAATTTCTACAATTTTTTACAATTTACAAATATTTTTATTTTAAATACATTTTGTAAATATCTTCTTATCGATTTTAACCTCAGTTTTTAGATTCTAAGTGGAGTGAAGAAGCTTATGGTATTACAAAGATGTTAATTTTTTTTCTGTGGACAACTTTTCAACCAGAGTACTTGCTACGATTTTTGCGTGTAGCACTTTTTCTGAAAGGAAATCGGTGCGGTGAGGTCGTTTTTCGATCTTCTCCGAAGTTTTCTCAACAAATGTGAAAAATTGGGAAAAACGTAGGAAAACCGAGAAAATCAGTACAACATTAAACAAATATTATCAAAGAAAATATATAGAGCCTATTTAATTATTTTACTATAACATGGCATGTATATTGTTGATAAAGAATCACTATCAACTGAACTCAGCTCAGAAAGGTTTTTTCGTAATAGTTTATCGTTAAATTACCTATCACAGTGGCTTCACCTGTCCTCATTATCCTACAACGTCTTTTTTAATGTAATATCTATATACTGATGACACTCTTAATTATTGTGTACAAAAATTAATAATTATTCAATAATTTAACAAACTTTTCTTTTTAAATAAATCTTAGTTAATTGACGACCACATTAAAACATTAGTACATGGACCTATTGGCATATTTTATACATTTTATTCTCTTATCACAACTATTACTATAATAACTGTTAATTAATTTCTTGATTAATATGCGTGTTTGAGCTGTGCGGTTTCCAACAAACAGCTCGTTGCATTGTTTGATATTATTTGCTACTTGGTTATCACGTCACCAACACGTTTTGTTTACTGTATTGTATTTAATTATTGGATAACCATTAACCAGTAACTAAAGACAGTAAACGTAATTTTCAATATTGTTCGTTAATTCTTCCGACAACCTGGTGGTCAGAAAATACGTTCAGTTATCAATAAATTTCAGTAAACAATATCGCCAAAACAATTTGTTCAATAAACAAGACTTTTTAAGAAACCCGTTTACTTAATAACCGGGTTTCTCAAAACGGTATCGCTAAAACACGCCATATGCAAATACTGATAAGCCTATAGTTGTAAATAAAGATGTATAACTTAATAAAAATATCTATGGTTTTAAAAACTGAAATATAACAAAAAAAAAAAAAAACAAAATCCATAAACCGGATGACGATAATTTACCAGTTTTCCATAAGTTCTGCAGTGAAGCGTCATTCTCAGTTATAAGATAAATACAAATTCGGATTAGAAACACAACGACCAAAGATACGTTCACAAACTTCTCAATACTCCATAGATCACAACATATTGAAAGAAATTTGCCACATGCAAGAGATCCAGAAAATGTATTAAATATTTTTAAAGAATAAACAGAAGTTTAAATTTTATTTGAATTATTTAATGTATTTTAAAATACAATTTCGGATTAAGATTGAGTTAAGTACAAATTTTTTTTTTTTTACTAGAACACTTTTTCCCTTCACTTTGATTTTAGTTTAACACGAGTGTTTATAAAAAAAAAAAATGGTTTGGACAATATCCTCCACACACAATTATACTAAACTACGCATATATTACTATCTAGTAATTTCACACCCCACCTCTAAATAGCACACCAATAATCTATCTTGTAATTTAAATAATGTTGCGTTTTATTTACAATCATTATCGCGGTTAATTGTACCCGTAAATCCTCTAGAGGCAATCTATAAGTATAGGTGTTCCATTTTATCGAAATTATCACTCGATAATACACGACATTATACTTCGATAAAATGAAACTGACCTTTCGGAAAAAATTATTTTCTCAACTGGGTTTATTCTCAACTGAAAATAAATAATAATTAGTAAACACGCACTGCCTAGGTGTATAATATAATATACAAACAACGGAAGCGATCGATCGACGATCGACAGTACTGCAGTGAATAGCGTACCTACACATTACAAACCACATTTTTTTCAAGTTTTGCTTATTAAAACTGTTGAAAGTTATTGCATCATACAAAAGTAATTGTGTTATTATTTAGTGTATAAAATGTCAACGATGAATAAACTCAGTTAGTTTCACGAATACTGTAAAAAGACCACGGCACATGGGATGCGGTATTTTGTAATGAAACATAGATCGCACATAGAAAAGTCAGTTGAAAAAACAAAATGAACATTTTAGTAGTTGTGTTTGTAACGAACTATGTTGTATATATATATATATAGACTATATAACTTGTATCTCATATTAGAATATCTCATTAACGAGTTGGTGGATATAGAAAATTATAACACCAACATTTATAAAAATAAAATTCCATCTATTTATGGAAGTTTGAAAATCAAAAGTAGAAAGTGGCTTCACCCCCGAAAATGAAGACGAAGAAAATAGGGACAAGGCAACATTTAAGAATACGTATAATGCTCCTAAAAAGTTTTTTCATAAACTTTCTGAAAAAATACGCATGTATTCATGAAAAATTTGATTGTAACATGAAAATTGGAGGACCTGCATATTTTTGTTTTCACAACAATAATAATCTAACACCAAAGACTCTTTAAATAAATAAGAAAAAAAAAGTTATAGTGCCTACTTATTAATTTTTCAGCTTTTCAACAATAATTTTCTCCCTTCCATCTAAATATTTCTTAAGATTGTCACAGTGGTATTTTATCAACTTGGAGATTAATATGTAATTTTATTTTATTTTATTTTGTTACAGGCAACATCGGAGGAATAATGAGTTTGTTTTTAGGATTAAATTTACTTAACGTTTTTGAAATATTATATATTTTAATTCAAATGATCATTAGTTATATTTCACGTAAGTAGATATCTACTGAATAATAATGATAAAATACAAACATAAATAATAACAACTTTTTTATACTCGTAATACAAATTCATAATATAGGTATCCTAGTTTTGAGAATTAAAATATTCATAAAATCTGATAAAACGTTTGTGATACACGCAATTAGTTTTATACAAAGTCTCACTATGGGTGGGCAACTGTTGTAGGTGAGTAGTTGGAAAGGTAGGATATAGAGAATAATTTAATGTATGTATCTGTATGCAACAATTAACCTTTGCTAAGGAAAAGCGATTTTGCACGGAGTTCAGTTATACATATTTTCGTAAATTTTATCGTTTTTCCTAAAATTCCTGATAGAAAAGTTGTTCACAAAAAAACACATTCTAAAACCATATTTATTCCTCGCTCCGCTTAAAATCTAAAATAGGACTTCAAATTAAAAACTAAATAAACACAAATTAACTGAAATGTCTAAAGTTTAAAGTGATGGCTTAGTTTTTTTCTTTTTAAATATTAGTTTTTACGAAATTTTTTAAAAATAAAACTGAAAATGTATCAACTCAAAAATATTCAAATTCAATAAAAAAAATGAGTGTCATGATCAAAATTATTTATTGTGTGTACTCTTGTATACTTACAACATGTATAATAATATAATAATAATTGTTCGTTATAATTTAAAAACTTGCTTTTGTGTTATTACTATAATATATTTAATAATCGTATAATAAATATAATATAAAATTGTCGCGTTTAAATATAAACCCAAGTTCACCAAATAATTTGTTTTCATTTCAAATATATCTTTCAAGTTTAATTAAATACATTTTTAACCAACTTTGAAAACGACATTACCTACGTCACATAAAAATAAAGTTAAGTAATATTTTTTCATGATTTTCTTACCAAAAATATCTAAACATCGAATTCGAGGAGGGGGATAGATTTCAAACATAGACTCTGTAGACTTCAATGGTTGAATGTTAAGCTTTGTAGGTACCTAAGCCAGTCTTAAAATATAAACATTTCTTTCCGTAAAGATTTATAATTTATATAATATAGGTACATACATAGCAAAATTTATTTTCAATTGAGAGTACGTGTACTTCAAGCAACGTACGTCGCAGGTAAGAATTAACAAAATAAAACATTGCCTGCAAAACGAGAGTCAGCGAAATGGGATGTCGGCAAAATGGGTTATGGGCAAAATGGGAGTCGGCGACGTAGAAATGAACCTTTGCGTCCACTCCCTTTTTCGTGCGTTTTTCGCCCATTACTTTTTTCGTGCTATTTCCGCCCGTTATCGAAATCTTTACCTGCTGAAATTATATAAGGCGGACTATCACTGAAAATTTAAAATTAATATTATATAATATAATCGTAAACAATTGTCAAATTTTTATAATTTAAATGTTTAATATCATAGATAAATGTGTATTTAATTTATTAAAATATTGTATTACGATTACATAATTGTCAACCTATTAATGTAACCTAACTTATTACGTGTACATTATTTAAAATTATATAAAATCAATATGATATAATATAACCGTGTAAAATTGTCAAATCATAGCCATGATTCAGATTTCTGAACAAATGATAATTGACTTAATGATAACTTAAACAGTCCTTCTCTAATAGTCTAATGAACCATTTTCGTTGAGCATTTGTATGCATAGGTACCTAAATTTAGGCCCTTGACGGCCCTAACCTAACCGTATTAATAATTTTGTTTTTAATTTATTATTTTATCAAAATTCTATTATATTTTAAAATTGTAATTTAATTGTTTTGGTTATCTACTATTACCATGTGCCACAGAATACCAACAGCGCTTTTTCATTCTAAGTATATAATTAAACACAAGCGTTACAAGTATTAATACGATAGTTATGAACCAATAATCACCAATAATGTTTTACAACAGCTGATTTTTAAATTCTTAAATTTCTAAAAATATGTTTTTTAATTATATTCATTTTTAGACACTTGTATACATGAAATTAAATTTCTATCACGAATCAACAACCAGCTTATAAATAATATATTTGTACAAATGTTGTGTTACATCTTTTATTCTTTATCGTTTCTAATATATTCGGCCTTTGGAAAAGTAATTCTAACTGATTATTTGTTCTTATCCTCCACTCATTGCTGTTGCATCCTTCATTGGTCCATAAATCCTCCTTAAAACTTTTCTCTCCCAGACAATCAGCTTTCTTTCATCTTCTTTTCGTAGTGGCCATGTTTCCACTCCAAAAGTTATGACTTGACACAATAATGTCATATATAGCTGTATCTTTCATTCTGATATAAATTTAATAACACATCAATTCAATTTACTAATAGACAAAAAAAATTTCAGAAACAAAAATAATTAATTTTTTCAAAATATCTCAACTTGCCAATTTAAATGTACAACAATTTTATAACAACATTTCCTTCATACCCACCAACAAATACAACCTATAATCAATTAAAAACTAAAATATATTTACATACAAAACATAATTAACAACACCATTATGAATTAACTACACATTAACCCTTATTACTTAAAGTCTAGTTTTAACATAACATTGACCTATTACAGGAAAACTGACTAACTTAACTAATTTCATTAAATAAAATAACTAACCACAACTGCAACTTTGTAATGATGCTAACACGGGTATCAACAAAAAAAAAATAAACAAACAACAACATTTTACAAAAAGTATTAACTGTATTTGTACAGTATAAATTTGTATTTTTTTTATAAAATTTGAAACTTCTATTTTTTTTAATTTTATTTTCGGTCCAAAAATTTAATTAAATTATTATTATTTATTAAACATTAAAATACATAAATACATAAAATAATACATACATACATTAAATATTAGACACCTCAATGTCATCAAATCCAAAAAAAAAAAAAATTCTAAAGGATATTGTCATACAAAGTGGTACCTACATACTTTACTTATATTCATTTTTGATTTTAGGTCCAAGACTCAATGACAATGACAACATTATTCAATCTTTATACACACATATTATTTGATCATGATCTAAAAATGAAAGTCGTATTTTTCATCTTTTTTTGGATGCTAAAGATTTTCTAAAGATAAATTGATACATTGATAAATAATACATTTTGATTACGGTGGTTAAGCAAATTTTATTTGTATTTTAAAACTTTGCTGCGGATATTAAGAACCAAATATTACATTATGCAAATATGATCTAATTAGTTTTCCATCATTCA